TGAGTTATTAGAGTTAATTGAGGGGGTGAGATTATAGCGAGGGCAAGAGGATACGAGGATTTGGAAATTTCACATAAATGAAGTGTACACGCCAAGAACAGCTTATGTGATGTTGAATTGATCGAAGAATTTTGGATGATGTTTTTGGCAAAGCAATTTGAAATAAATTTCTGGCTGGAAAGGTTAATATTTTTGCCTGGAGACTATTCCTAGACAGGTTGTCAACAAACAGGAACTTGAGTTTGAGAGGGATTACACTTGCACATGTTTGCAAAGTGTTTCTTTTCTTACAATGTGTGGATGAAGATTTTAGCTTGGTGGGGCATTCATACTGCAGTATGTGGTTGTCTGAAGAAAGCTTTTTGGCAACTCACTCAGGGCTGGCTACATGAAAGGACAAAGGTTGTTTGGTCCTTTTTATTTGTCTCGGTCACTTGGCATTGACCGGGCTTGAGAAACAGGGTGACCTTTAAAGGGGTGGAAGCAAATGCTCATAGATCAGTGGAGCTAATACAAACAAAGTCCTTCTTGTGGGTAAAGATAAATTAAGTGCATGTGGATTTCTTGTGGGTAAAGATAAATTAAGTGGATGTGGATTTTCATTGTATGATTGGATGCTCTATCTTGATTTATGTGTTAGAATAGTAAAAGTTTAACTTAAGTGATAGTATAATATATGTATATAAGTAAGAGTACCTCTTGTACTTTAAATTAATAATAAAATAAATTTATATGATCAAAAAAATATAATAATACTAGGCCATTTTTGTTTTAGCTTCTGGTTTCTTGTATTATTAGATTATTACTTGGTCAAAGGGCTTGCCGGCTAAATTTTTGTTGAATGGCACGTTTCAAAGTAGAATTAGCTCAGGAGTTTAAAATAAGATTTGTTTATTAAAATGGATCGTTGACAGGGGAGAGAGCGAGAGACTAGCGGGCTGAAGGATCTTAACTTCCATGGCAATATATAGAGAAAGATTTTGATTCCACGTATAGATATACCGAAAAGGTTTTTCTTTTTGATCAATCGAACTAAAAAAATTACATTAATATTATGCCGAAAAGGTGTAATGTCATTATCTCACAGGTGTTGGATCGTACGTTGTTTTGCATTCATGTTTATGCCATGGAATGTTTTCTAGCAGGTATAATTGATTCTTCAACTTTATTAATATTATTATGTAGACAATTTGAAAAGGAATAGCTATTTCCAATTTCCTTTTTCAGATCATCAGGTTATAAAACACACAAAACATGAATTACCCTCAGCCCTTCCTATTTCAACTCCATTCCATTGTTGTTGGAACTTAATTAAAAAACTTGAACTATTTCTAAGGCACTAAAGGTGTATCTCAATTGGTAAAATTTAAGGTGGGTGGAGAGACTAAAGAATTATAACAATGAAAAATTAACTACTTCAAAAGGATGGAGATTCCCTCTCAACCATAAATTAATTTGGCATGGTATATATACTTTTTACATCATATAAATTACTTCAAATTTAATAATAAAGATTTTTTTCTTCAAAAAAATATTTTGCAATCTAAATAGTACTAAATTGTAAAATATAAACCATTAAAGAATGATAGAAAAGTTTTCATTAAAATTATTTAATTTAAAAAAAAATGAAATTACCCTTAGGGCCAAAAAGAAAAAAAATGCTAATAATTAATTTAGTTGAATAATTTAAATTAATTAGTCAAAATTGAGAAAAAAAAAAGGCATTTTTCCTCCCCTCTTCTACTTTAACTTCCGTATGCCTTAGATTAAATGCGCTATAAAAATTATTATTTATATTTATATTATAGACAATTATGACCAACACTTAAATTTTGCAATTAGATAATTATATATTTTAATATAAAATGCCTTCTTCAATTCTAAAGTTGGGTTGGAATCCTTTACCCCAAATTTGTAATCATGGCCAACAAATTATTTACTAATACTTTGTGAAATGAAGTCAATGTGCAAGCACATTTTATCATAATTCAATAGTGTCGAATTATTTTGTCCACTTAATGCCATATGAGTCCCATGATCACAAAGAGAACTATGTTGTACCCTTAATGCCATGTGGGTCCCATGATCACAAAGAGAACTATGTTGT